CCTGTTTTGGATGATTGAGGTGGTTAGTTGTAATATTATAGGTAGGACAATTATTTCATCCCAGTAGGCTGCTTAGCATGCATACTTGTGTGTATTTTTAAATGGCTTTTACGTTTACATCCGATGAGAAAAAGTATTTAGGATGAAGATGACGCAGTGTGTTTAGTAGACTGTCTCAGGTGATGTTGTTGGTGGCTGTTAAAATGTAAATTTGCTCAAGATCAGTAAAGAACAAGAGAGAGCTGCTAACTTTATGTGAAATACTGCAAAAATGTTTGTGTGAATCTTGAAACTCCGTGAACTAATGTACAGTAGTTTGTTCTGCTCCTTGGTTGTGGAAGAACAACTGGATAGTGCTGCAGGTAGCAAACTAGTCCCTGTACATGCTGAGGATTCCATGTTAGGGCAGATTGACCTTACATTTTATATCTTTCATTTTTTTGGTTTTGTAAGGATAAAAACACACAACATTCAGACAGATCTGGTTTCTAAGCTATACATGAGGTTGAATTAATAGTCAGTTCTTTGGTTGGTCTGTTAGTTTGCCGTACTGAAGGTCAGAGAGTATTTTGAAGATGCTGAATGTTGTCTGAGAAGCAAATCAGGAAGACTCGGTTTCTGACTGACCTGTGTGGGGCAGTTGCTTGCGGGATAATTCAAAATTTCCATCCCTCCTCACAGCAGACATTGCACAATTGTGTGTCAGCAAGAATCAAAGTCTTGTCTTTGTCTGCCTGGAGCTCCTTCACTTCTCGTGGCTGTGTGCAGCACACTCATGGCCTTCTTTCTTCTTCCCTGCCAGAGCTTTTATATAACCCTATGTTGGTTATTTTTGCAGTGGCCTCTGTCTAGCAAGCAAAAACATAAATTCTTACTTGGACTTTTTCCAAGTTGGGCACTTCTGTGCCATTTCTACTGCATTCAGAAAGAATACGTTTAGATCTGCGGTTCAGCCTATAATGGATTAAGTGGCAATTTTCTTGTTCTATTTCAGATTTTGGAGGATTAGGTTTATAGGTTAAAAAGTTCTATGACCCTGGAAAGCTTTTCAATACCAGTTCAATAAACTCAAAGCTGCTTTGATTGAGTTCAAGTCTTTTTTTATGGCACCTTTCATATTTTGGAATGGGTTTTTAATCAAAGTGACATTTAATTAAAGCTATTATTCATTAAATGGAAGTAAATGCATGTAATAAAAGTACAAGAATGATATTTTTTTCTGGCTTTAAAATCTGAAATTGAAACAGTCTTGAAACACCAAGTTTGTAGCATTTAGTTTAAAATTGATTAAATGCAGGATTTACTATAAAAAACAAGATGTGTCTGCACATTTTCTTTCGCTTCAAAGTCGCTGTTCATGTGTTCTTTTCTATTTTGTGAACCTCATGAACTGTAATCAAATGATATCCATAAATGATAGAACACGCTACACTCCTTTATAAAATCCCATTAAGATGTACTGCGGGGATTTAGGATATTACTTCCTGAGCAGTTTTGATAAGAATGTCTTCAAAATGTGTCAGGATAACCTAAAGTGTGTGTATATGTGTGTGTGTGTACGTTCTAAAATAGTAAACTGACTGAGACAGTTTCACCAAAGTAATGAAGGGCTCTGAATGTTTGTGCTGCTTGGATTTTATCTCTTCATATTAACTTCTTGAGTTTCTGCTCAACTCTGATAGTGTACTGTACCTGCCTGCTACAGAACTTTTGAGAAATCCCTTGTCAGTCAAATAGTTTGCTCGAACTGCCACTTCTGAGCTCGAGTTTCTGCGGATGCGACTCTTTGCTCATAATCTTTATTTTCTAACAAACTCCAGAGCACACTGATAGCCACACAGCCACTATGAAGACCAGAACACTCACTGAGCACTTCAGTGGCAACATGGAGCCTCCCTTTGCTCTTAAAAAACACCCATTTCTTGGATTTCATGAGATGTTGGACACCTTCCTCTGAGATTCTGCTCCATGTTGACATAATTGCATCATTTCTCCAAATTTGCCAGCTGCACGTTCTTTGTTGCCAATCTCCTGTTGTACCACATCCCAAAGAGGTTTCAGGTCTGGACACCCACTGTCATGTTCATTACACCATTTTTCAGATGGATTAATGACACGGTGTGTTATCGTGCTGAATGTGCCCACTGCAGCCTCAGATTTCTGTTCTTGGCAGGAGTGAGACCCAACATGGTCCTCCTCAAGGTTTCTTATGTTGCGCTTCTCTGTCTTATGGAGCTGGGGCCTTTACTAGAACCAGGAAAAGCTTTCAGTTTTCGGTGACAAGCCTGGTGTTTGAAAACTGGGCTATGCAACTTTGTGCTTGTGCAGCAAGATGACAGTGGCAGCGAGAGGAATTTTTGAAGCACATTTTTGAAGAACAGCGTTGGAGTGAAGAGGTTCAAAGAGAGCAGTGGTCACATGCTTGCTCCTTTATGTCACAGCTGAAATGGTGCTAAAGCTAAAATGTACTTGCAAAGGAGGTCAAAGACTCAGTTTAAATTGTGTTAAATGGTCAGGGAGGAATACTTTTTACTGCAGCAGTACGATGTTGAGTCTGTTAAACTGAGTTGTAACCTCTTCTCTTTGTTTCTCTTCTTTCTCTTTTCAGGTCCTCGATGGGCATCATGGAACCTCGGTGTGTTCATGTGCATCCGCTGTGCCGGCATCCACCGCAACCTGGGCGTCCACATCTCCAGAGTCAAGTCTGTCAACCTGGACCAGTGGACTCCTGAGCAGATCCAGGTATTTAGAACCACGCACACGCCTTAACCACACAAACTCAATGCACACAAGCAGGAAACATCTGCCATAAATGATTAACCACATACCGTTGCAGTTCTTCACTGCTTCTCAACATGGTGACTCAATTTGTAGCCTTCATGTAAAAGCAATAAATGTTGATAATTACTCCCCTGTGAAGTTGGAATCAGATGTTCTCGCTAGGTTGATTTCAAATATGATTTGCTTTTGAAATTGGAATAATTGGAACACGCCATGTGGTCGACACAATAAAAGTTGTTGGTGTAAAAGGACTTGGTGTTTGCTGTTAAAACCACTGGAGCAGCACAGTGTAATCTCTGTAATGTGGTGGATGTTTCCTTTACCCTGTTGGACTGAAATGAGCCATTTTTGGGGGAAATTCCATCTTTTTCTTCTGTAATCGCTGTAACTATTTCTAGTGATAACATTATCTTACAGTCAGTAAATATATTTGCAAATCATATGAATAGAGAATCATAATTTTTTTTCACACTATAATTATCAAACTCATGCTTTTTCTTTAGAATTGAAGTAATCTGGGTGATCTGTGGTTAAAATAAGAACAGTATCTGCTTGTGGTTAATGCAGCATGATGTTTTTATGGTTAAGATTATATTAAGCTTTTATATAACCAAAAGCATTTATTTGATCATATTTTTATTTATCCAGGACAGGGTTCATTGAGAGGACAAGACAGGCGGCAGCACAGATTAACAGGATGCAAACGTAGAACAGTTTCAACGTGGTTTACATGAAGATTAGGAGAAGATTACAGTATCGTAGGGTTGCATGATGGGAAGCATAGGGGCAAAGTTGTAAAATATATCCATCCTGAATGAGATAAGATAAAGAAATCAAGAGGAAATGACACATTTCACAGAATCAGGCTGCTTTGGTTTTACACATCAGTACAGTGTTTCTATCCATTCATGGACTTGCACTGCTCATAAGCAAGTGTATATATATGTATATAAATATATTTTCTCTCTATCTCACATCTGCCTTTTTTTTTGGTATTGTTAATATTTTATTTTATTTTGGTATCTGTTTTCTGCTTCTTTGCACCAATGGACCAAGTCAAATTCCTGGTGATGTAAAAATTACTTGGCAATAAAACTGATTCTGATTCTGATTCTGATTCTGATGTACATAAACATAAAATAATTTTAACAAAAAGCATGAATCAAAACTTTTTCAGAAACATACAAAAGCACTACCATTTAATTCCAAGATAAGCTCATTTTATATTCTATATATTGAAAATAACAGTATGCAGAGATGGGGCATGTTGTGATGAAGCAACAACGAGAGGCAGTGAAAAAAAAACAATAATACAATAGCTAAGGTGGTGTATACACAGGGATGTTGCTCCATATTCACACACACTGTCTTAGAAACGCAGCTTAGTTCCATGGTTCTTTGACACACACACACACACACAGTGTATTGTTGACATACATGCTCAGCAACATGTGTCTCAATACACACACACACAAGGAGTAAAGAAAACTTTAATTAGTTTGTGTGTAGCTATGTTTTGTTGATAACAGGCACGCCACACTGATTACATCACACACAATAAATCAGGGGTGTGTGTGTGTGTGTGTGTTTGTTCAAGTCACATGAGCATGCCAGTAATTTATTTAATCATCCTGTTGTTAATATATCCAATTGTTTGGTGTGTGTGTGTAGTACAGAAAAGGTGTGTGTTTGTGTGTTTCTTCAAGGCAGTGCCTATCCATCAGCTGAGTGTGAGTAGAAAGGGTCTCACTCTGAATGTTAATCACTGTTTTCAATGACTAATTAATTCTGGATGGCTGATTATTCCGACTCCGTCTCCTCCACTTCTCCTATCATCACCCCATTCATCACCCTCCTCTTAATTTAGCCCTGACACATACGGCCACAGTGTCTTTCACTCTGCGTGTGTGTGTTTGTGTGCGAGTGCGTGCGTGGAAAAAAGAGTCAGCAGGCAAATTGAGTTGAATGCAAATGTGTCGTATGAAAGAAGTCGCTGTGTGCGTTTGACAAGTTCTTAAAGGAGTTTTACCAACTGCCCTCCTAATATTAATGATACATTTCTTTCCTCTTTCTGCCTCCTTCGTTCTTTCCCTCCCGTCCTTGCAGAGTATGGTGGACATGGGCAACACCAGGGCCAGAAAGCTGTACGAAGCCCACCTACCGGAGAGCTTCAGACGACCGCAGACAGACCAGTATCCTCCTCCTGTTAATTTATTGGCTTCAGCCTCGATTTCGCCTCGCTTTCATTTTCATAAAATCTCAGTTTATCACCGTATATTAGAGCGAACATTTCCTGTCGCTGCACAGTTGCATATAAACTGCTTCCGTTAGACTAAATGTGCATAAAACACACAGACATATAGGCCTGTATGTCACCATACATGCCAGTACTGATTTGCATTAAAAGTCCCTGTATCACCATATATGTCAGCCTATATTTACACGCGACTCTAAAAGCTTCCTATATCACTACATATTTGCATTTTAACTCCCAGTGTCACCATAAATATGCGTGAAAATATCAGCATACATGTTGAAGAGTGGCTGTGACTCAGGTGGTAGAGCGGGTTGTCTACCAATCATAAGGTTCAATCTCTGTCCCCTCCACATGTCAAAGTGTCCTTGGACAAGATGCTGAACACTAAGTGCACCTTACATGGTAGCTCTGGAGCCACTGGTGTGTGAATGTGTGTGTAAATGGGTGTGTTAATGAGCAATGTTAAGGTAGAAGAGTGCTGTACAAGTGTAGACCGTTTACTCTACTACATAAGCTACACACAGTACTAGTTTGGACACAGCTACTTTTTCAAGGGCTTTTCTTGTGTTTTACTATTTGACAGTGTAGAACGAAACGTCAGACATCAAAACTATGAAATAACAAATTTATGTAGTTTATACACCAAAGTGTTTACAAAACACTGTTGCCCATAAAGTTGGAATAAAATGTTTTTTTTTTACATCTTCTCATGAAACGATGGTGACAAATTATTCTTGATTGATGAAGTGTATATCTTCTCAAAACTTTATTGATATCACAATATACATACAATACATATCACAATAAATTTTAACCTACAATTAACTTTTGCAAACTGTGTATTCAGCTGCAAGGTGCTCGGTTGTTACCTTGCAGCAAGAAGGTCGCCGGTTTGCGTCCCGATGAGGACACCCGGGATCTTTCTGTGTGGAGTTTGCATGTTCTCTCTGTGCAGCGTGGGTTCTCTTCGGGTTCTCCGGCTTCCTCCCACAGTCCAAAAACATGTTGAGGTTAATTGGTGATTCTAAATTGTCCGTAGGTGTGAGTGTGAGTGTGAGTGTGCTTGGTTGCCTGTCTCTAAGTGTAGCCCTGTGATAGACTGGTGACCTGTCCAGGGTGTCCCCTGCCTTCACCAGCTGGGATAGACTCCAGCCCCCACGACTCTAGTGAGGATTGGTGGATGGATGTAAACTGTGTATTCAGGCTTGAACTAAATTGGGGTTATTGAACAATAGGATTAAGGGTTTTGTTTCAATTTTTCATCTTGGTCATATAACAGGAAACACATATTTGAGGGGATTTCATGCATCAGAATGTCCAATATTACTCTTTCAAATGTCACTCAGTCACTAATATTGAGTCTGGCCACCCCTGACACAGATCAGTGGGTTAAGACATGGTGGCATTCTGTCCACCAGCTTGTTGATGGTGTCAGTGGGCAGGATGTTCCACTCTTCAGTCAGATCCTGAAATCAGAGTTGGTTTCACCTGGTAACTGGGACTCAGTATGTAATGACTACACCTGGTCAAAAGTGACTGCTGATGTGTATGAATAGAAATAAAAAGAGGAATGCGTCTGAAAACAAAAAAATATTCTAACTTTATGGGCAACGGTGTATGTTTGTATTGTAAGTTTCTTCTAATTAACCACCTTTGATAACAGCTTTACACATTATTAGATTTCTCTTGTCCAGTTCAGTTAAGGTCCAGTTGATTTCTACTGAAGCTCCTACGATTACCATGACCTGGATAACTGAGAGGCTACACAGATATAGCTTTACACATACTTCATTCTCAAACCGACTTCATGAAGCCCTCACTGGCAGCTTTTCCTGCAGTCTTGAAGGAGTTCCCTCACATGCTGTGCACTTACTGGCTGCTTTTCTTTCACTCTGTGTTCCAACTCATCCCAAAACCTATCAGCTGAAATGATCACTGCTGATAGTGGAGGCAACTCATGAAGCACCACATCACTCTGTTGACTGTTCAAACAGCTCTTACAGAAACTGGAAATGTGTTTTTAGTTCAAAAATCAGGAACTCATGCATCATTGGATATTCACACAATAAGTAATCAAGTAATTCAAAATGAAGCCGTGTCTGTGGTGAGGTGTGGATGATACATTTAGATTACAGACTACATGGAGTGGTGTGTCACTGTAGGATGTTGTGGGAGCCACGCTGGTGAACATACACACCATCACAGCTCCTCCTCTGCCTCACGGTGAAAACTTCACATGCAGATAACATCATCTTCACCTGTTCAGCCAAAATTCTCACACTGGAACTCATGAAATCAAAATCCAGTTTCCCACTGGTCTAATCATCACTGCTTATCACTGATCTCCCTCACTAGTGGCTTCTTTGCTGCAGTTTAACCATTAAGGTCTGATGCTGAGTCGTGTCTGCACTTGAACTTGGGGAAGCATTAATGTGAGCGCTCAACTTTGGAGCTTTTAAATGGTGATTTGGGAGGCTGGTAACTCTAATGAACTTCTCCGCAGCCAAGGGAATTTTTGGTCTTTGTTTCCTGGGGCGGTCGTCATGAGAGCCAGTTCCATCACAGTGTTTGATGGTTTTTTTGCACTGTCATTATGAAAAATCTCACTGACCTCAAGAGAAATGACACTTGGATCTTTTCCTCCTTGTGATCATCAGTGAATCAAATCAAAGCCGACTGGATCTGCTCAGCATTTTTTATGCATGTGACGGAGCAAGTCTGTTGCATCGTATACGTCTACATCACAACTGGAAGGTGCAAAGTTAGACCAGTGGAGTTTTTTATTTTACCTGTCTGTGCATTTACAACACATGTACACTACCAGTCCATATTTTACTCTACATTTGTACAAAACTCCTTATTCCACCATTCACCTGCATATTAGCTTCTGATTTTAAAGGCTTCTAATTAGATTTTTCCAAAAAATGTATGAAGATAAAATGAATGTAAATATAAAGCAAATTAAATTTATTGTGTCGTTTGGAAAAGCTTCTAAAAACGCAAAAGACATTTTTTTTTATTTTTTTGAGGGTTAGGGTTAGAAAGTACAGAGAAAACACAGAAGATGAGCAGATTGGCTGCAGTATTGTATATATGAAAAATAATGTTTGCTTTTTTAAATGTTTTTTATTTAAGGATGTAAGCATATTCTAGTTGAACCCCAAGTTACAATCATTAACATGTCAATGTGCACAATATGAGCTCTTTAAAAGCAAATCAAAATCATGCAGCATTGCAACCTTATTGTGTCATTATATATAAGCAAATAATAATATTGTGCAGTTTGCAGACCTCACTGCTGGACATGAGGACCTTTTTCAAAATTATGACTCATACAAAAATGGGCTACAGTTTTTAGTCATATTGGTCATGACTGACAATTGTCATAATGAAGAACTGAACGATTCTTAGTTGAGGTGCAGTATCAAGTTGGCAGACTTTAGTTGTTTTTGCTACAGGATTAGAAAAATTCATTTGAAATGACTACTTTATTTAAATAATGATGGCGAGTGAGACGAGTATCCAGTACTTAGTGTGCACAGCGAATCAGCATACTGATGAGGTTAACGTCATTTTAAGTCACTCCTGCAATGAGCATTTTTCTGTGTTGACGCGGAGAAATTACAGTATCAAATTATTGTTGCTATCAACCTTCGGCTTCATCGGCACACCCATAATCATTTCGAGCACTGAATAAGAAGTGACAGGCTCACTGCATCAGCGTCATTCCACGCGTTTAACCAGCAGCGCCTGTGTGTACGCTGGGATAACAGCAGTTTCCCAGTTTGCCCTTTTCCACGATACAAGACAAGACAGCTGTGTGGTTAACACAGTAGCATATGTTCATATTTCCACCAGCACACTGAAATAAATAATCTCCTTGTTTGAATTGCTGCTCTAATACCCTATCTTGTATCTGGCAGGCCCATTTGTGCGGGTGGTCATCATTCTTCACTCTTTTGAAGTCCATTAGTCGTTCTGACAGCAGCGCCGCTGGCTGAAAGCAGCAGATAGCAGATCCAGGATTAGGAAAGCTACCGCCTTAATGTGTTTGTTTCTATGTGGATGTCTGTGTTCGTACTCACACATCATTTTGGCCGCGCTTTGTTGTGCTTATGACAAAAAGGAGTTTGACACCCCTGCTTTTAATTGCTATTTTGTTTTCAGCTCCAGCGCGTATTATTGAATGGTTTCATATTTAGAAATACACACGTATGTTTTACACAAATGTGGACTAAAATCTGTCACAGACGTTAATCATAAAGTATGCAGTATGCTTCAGTAGGCTCTTTTTCTTTAATGCAATACAAAAACATATACAGCATTTTCATTACAGGATAGTAGTACAACAACTCTAGTCGGCCGTCTCTTCTGAACACGTCTCGTCAACATCACATCTAATGTCATATCCAGCAAAACATCCAGGAAATAACCTTCTTGCACGTCTGATCCAAGCCTGGTGATCTTCGGCTGATACAGTATGACCTCACACCCAGCATTCATTGCATCCAGGACAGACAGCAGATTATGTGACTGTCTGTAAGGTGGAACAAAATGGGCTGTACATCATTGTGACTGCAAGAGATGAGGAAATACCACATGGTTCCAAACAAACCAACTTTCTCTCTTTCTCCACCTCTCATGGAGGTCACCAAGGAATTATAATACATTCACCCTGCCTTCCAGATCCCAAACTTTTCTTTACTTTGGGTGTTGGAAGCTTCTCTTAGTGTTGCATGTCCCATTTAGAAGTTTCATATTTACTATTTTAAATTGCTGTTCAGATGTGGAGCAGAATTACAGCAAATGTTAGTGTAATTTGCAGTAATTCTGTGTGTTGTGTGAGGTTTTGAATGTACTTTTTACAGTCTTACAACAGCATGAAGATGTGTAAAATGGAATCTCAAGTGCACAGGGAGTGTTAGATTTTGAGTGAATGACAGTTTAATCCTCCGTGTTGTGCTGACTTTGTGATCTACATACGCAGGACCGAGAATAGTTTGTTCTCTTCTGAGCAGCGTAGCAGCTGGGAAGCAGGAACACAACAGGAAAAATAAAGCGCATGTGTTTTCTGATCAGTTTCTTTAGTTCAGGTCTTTCTGTTCGTACTCAGAAAACGTTTATCAGTTCGAAACAGAAAATCAGTTCAAGTGTGAGACATCTCATCAAAGCTGGACAACACTGTCTGGACCAGATATGGTTTATGTCAGAGGTCTTCCTGCTTTATTCGGGTTCTTCATCAATGCAGCATCTGTCTTCACGTAACACTCCTTTGTGGTCATGTGTACATCACCGCTGTGTCATTTAGCTCACATTTACCCACCGCAGGCCTTGGCGCCGTGTATCATAGTGTAGCATCCTGTCTGCTCTGCTGTTTCTCATCAACAGCAATAAATAAGCAGCGTGTTTGAGATGCAGCTCCAGCAGCCTGCCGCTTCCAGCCTATCTCGTAGCTCCACTCGTGCGGGTGGTCATCATTTTTCAATCTTTTGAAGTCTATTACTCGATCCGACAGAAGCGTCGCTGCTGAAATGGGGAGATAAGCGCGTCGGGATTAGGCCTGATGTAGTGACTGGTTGTGATAGTGCCGCATGTTTGGAAGAGTGTGAGGTTGAGAGTGTGTGTGCGCGTGTTTCCATATCCGGTGTGGTATTCTGACAAAAGCAGGTTTCCCAATGTAAACATCATGTCTTCTCATATACCATTAAAAAAACAACTTAAAAGTTTACTGGTCTTTCTTTGACTGAACAGTACCAGTACTGTCACTGAGCATGAGGCAGAGAGGAAAATCCATGTCTTGATCTCATGTCTGTGATGAGGAACCCCACTGATCATGAAATGTGGAGGAAAGCCTGCACAGAAGAAACATCATGGAGTTTGATTAATCTCTAACAATGTCAAGAAACAAAATGTCTCTTCGATTTTTGTTTCTACACATTTTCACATGTGTTTTCAGTATTTGAAAAACGTCTTTTGCCATATTGTTGAACTGAATTGGGAAAGTCAACAGTTTTACAGTTATACCACAAAGTCATGGGCTTAAACACCAGTGAATCTATCAGTAATGCTAGAGGTTTGACAGGTGATGCAATCTGACTGTGTTCAGCTTAAAAATTGTACTGAAAAGTTGTATGTACTTCAGCACTTTGTCCAACCTTGATAATCCTTGTTCTCTCAGCAAGATTTGTTCCAAAGAGCTTCTTGTCGTGTCATCAATGTTGGCCTTTGTTAGTCTTTAAGTGTCCATAAATGTTCAGTGGGGTGGAGGTCAGGTGACTGTGGAGGAAAGTCCATCACAGTCAGCTCTCCTTGGTCTTCTTTGGTCTTCAAGTCAAAGCTTTGAGGTGTGTTTGGACTCATTGTCCTGCTGCAGTACGAATCCTTCTCTGCAAAGATACAAACCAGAGGGTGAAGCATGTTTCTGAACAATGGAGTGCTGCTTCTCTTTAGTCAGGGGGCAGGTGTCCAACTGCCACTAACCTCTAACTGAGATTAATCAGTAAATAGAACTTTATCGTCCACTGTGAAGTGCTGCTATGTCTTAGTCCACCCCAATTGTTTGGCTTCGTTTCCCCTCCTGAGAGGTGGTTTGGAGACGTTTCTTATCGTCTGAGACACTACACAGCCTTCTTTTAACAGAACTTTTGCTGATTGGAGTCTTGTGTTCTTTATTTATTACATTTTTAATCTGAAGTTGCTTTTCCGTCTCTCAGTGAACAAAGCTTGACGTATTGATCTTTTGATGGTGCGCTCACTTTTGGTTTTTGGTCTGCCTGATCCTTCTTTGGCTACACTGATCCAGTTTCCTCAAAGTGCTTCAGAGTGATTTGACACTGAGGAAGCTCCTCTTTACTTAGAATAACGATTTCACTTCTGACACTTTCACTTAGTTTGGTTCTGTTTCCCACAATGCTACTTAGTGAACATTGATCTGTGGAAATTTAAAATAGGTGAACAACAGCTGCAGGTTGAGTTGGTTGAACAAGCCTCTGATGAGTTGATCAAAACAACCTGAGTGTCGCCCGAACGCTTCCTGAATGACTGATACGTCTTTATTGTTTAATTTCTGATTGTTTCCAGGTTTACATGTAAATATAACAGAACATGTGATATCATCTCATGTTAAAGTTTTTACATAATACTCGTTTCTCATCATCACTCCGGTAATTATTTCCCGATCTTTGCCACTATGGTTAACATTTAGTTGGTTTAGGCTGAAATTCTGTTTCGGCATCGATGAGATAGGCCTAAGTCTTTACTTATTGACTTGTTTAAAAGAGTTTTTTTTTTTAACTTCCCGCTTTGATCCTCCATCCGCTCAACCTTGTTTCAAGGCTCTGTATCAGCGTCATGCTGCCTCAGCCTTTGCTCCTTACAGACAAGACATAATTGTCGCAGCCTCTTGACATATTTGTCCTTCAAAGGTAAACATGAGGCTTTTGAACAGTCTCAGTCTTCTCACACATTATCTCCACCTGTATTTCTAATATCATCTAGGAATTCAGATTGGCAAGGTGAAATCCCCCCCCGAGAACTACGGTATGTTGGTGATTTTACTGCATGTTTCCGTCGTGTGTGTAGATGTTGTGTATTTGGATGACTTTGCACACGGTTTCAGTCCTTATCGCTAACCTTCAGAGCTGTGGAAGTCTTCATCCGGGACAAGTACGAGAGGAAAAAGTACTATGACAAGGAGGCCGCGGCCACAGCTCCAGTGAGTATCACCAACTTGTATTTTCCATTTTGTCGGTTCATGTTCTTGTTATTATTGTGTGCAGAGCTGCTGTGGTTTAAAGTCATTTCATGTAACCTGTGCCAGCGGGTGCTTCATGACTGTTTGATGCCAACTTGTGCTTCAAGTTGGAGTCAGCAATTCTAATCCAAACTGAGCCAATATCTCATCACAGTCCACTAGCTGCCCATTCTGTGTGCGCTGAAAATTGAGAAGCAAAGTGTCTGTGACTGATCTACACTATTCCAGCGTGTCCTGTACATATTAGTGCTCATACACTGGACAAGGGGAAAGGGAGGGGAGATGGGGGGGATGTGGGAGCATAAGGAATGGTAAATCTTGTACATTTACTAACTAGCCAAATATCAACAATCTTTCTCCAGACTCCACCTTTAAAACAGAAAACAGCATCAGAGCAAAAGTTTTTCTGCTCCTTCAGCTTTCACATCTAAGCATCTATAAATGTGGCAAAGTCTGTCTGACACTTCGTATTATTAAGCAAATGTGAAAGATTTTCAATCACTCACCTTTTGGTAAGAAACTGGAAATGAGTGCTGAAAGGCTAGAAACTGCAACAAAGAGTGTTTGCATGGGTCTGGCAGCCGCTGTGCTAAAAGTTGAAATGTGCTACTTATTATATTTGGCATCTTCTCTTTGCACAAGGCTTTTGAATGAGTTCCAGCACTGACTTTTCCGTGCCAAAGCCTCGTTGGCTTCCAGTATCATTGTCTTTCACTCAACAACCCTGTAAAATCAGTATTTTTTACTGTCACTGACCTTTTCTGCACTTTAATCTATCACACTGGTGATGTGAGCTGAGCTTAAATGTGTGGACAGGCAGTGAAATCCCTTTCAACCCTGATTGTAGCCCAAACAACAGTCTTATTGGATCTGATATCAAGAGTTGCTGCACACCGTTAGAGAATAACCTTTCAAAAACCCTGTTATCTTCTGATGCAGGTCTTTATCAGTAAGTAGCGATGTCTGTGTATGTGTTTGTGTCAAGCTCCTCGCTCTTTGCTGCGTGGGTGAAAGAAGAGAAAGGACATGATTGTGTAGGTGTTTTTGTGGGTGGGTGGGTGCACATCTCCTTGTCTTGTTTCCAGAGAGATTATCCGTGTGAGAGGTGTGTGTTGCGGTGTGTTTCAGTGAGTGGGTTGACTCTTTTGTGAGTTAGGCAGGATGGTGTGAAACTTCTCCAAAATGTGTATGATGTAGTCTGTGTGTGTGTGTGTGTGTGCTGACATACATAATACATGGCATGTTTTTCTAAAAAAAAAATAAGCAATTTGACTCTGGTACTGCCCGTTGTTACACATTTGGCAACAGATGAGAATAATAATAATTGTCATAAAACCAAAATAATTTGTTTATATTGTTCAGACGCAAGTGATTAAAATTACCATTTCCACTCAAAACACCCCATTTTCTCCTGCTGTGATTGTGTTTCTGATGTGATCAAAAACATTAGTATTTAGGTCCATTCATTTTACTCCATACCAGCTTCTGCTACAGTGTGACTAATTCAAATGTAATCAGAACTTTGTAGCGGAGTGACGTCTCATCTAGTGTTGTTTTTGGATGATGTGGGAAATAAAAACTCTCAATAAACTGTTGTATTAAAAAAAAAACTCACTTGTGTGGTATCATGTATGAAGTAGTTCAGATTTGATACAGCACTTTTTCTATTTCTGTTTTTGTTTCCTGAACTTGGTCCCTGGCACTTCCTTCTCAATGACATCACACAGGTCGCTGTTTTCTTAAAGATGCCTGCATGGCTGTGCTTTAGTACGAACAACAATCTTGATTAATGGAAGCCACAGTTGCTAAAGATGACGGACTAATACCAATATTACATCTGTGACATGGAGACAATTTTGTTTTGCAAGTTCTGACTTAGTGTATTAAACCTAAAAGTAGCAGCGTGACAACCATGTTCCAACACCTGAAACAAAAGCCTGCAGTGCAATGGGAGCAGTGAGTGTTTCTTTGAGATTCTGACTTTAGCTCCTATCCCTGTTCCCAAACCAGAGCTACCAGGCATTTTAGCTGCCTCATTCTCCAATGTCACCCTGTATGACAAGACAGGGTGCTGGTGGAGGGAAATGACATTAGTGTTGGCATTTCATATCAGCAAAGACATAGTAACCATTAACATGATCCAAAAGCCTGAGTTTGTCTGGATGTCGAACACAATCATGTATGAAACAATGAGGCGCAAATATTTTGTGGAGCTAGAATTGCAACATTTGTACAACAAAACACGGGAGGAGGTTGCGGTGCAGTTGATAAAAGTGTTGTTTCAGTCTACAACACGGATCCCTGAACCAGCAGAACCATGCAGCATGACTGTTCATGTTATTGACAAGGAGTGGGCACTGAACAGTGTCTGTCCCCAGACATCCTACTTCCTCAAAGGCTGCATTGGGGACGTAATAGCTCAAGGGATTAAAGACTTAGATAGATATTAATAGATATTAATACTGGAGAATTATATGGAAGACGCACAGATTGAATTTGCTATTGGACTTTCCAAAAACGTAGACCCTGCCTTCTCCTTTAAATGGCAAAATCAGAGAGATATGGCACTGGTACTGGCTGAACTTGGCCTACCTACAGGCACACTAGCTTATCTCTGAATGTCAAACTAGGTGGGGTTCAGGATAACAAATGGTTGAATGAAAACATGAAAAAGAAGCCACTAGTCAGGTGTTAGGCTCAGAAAAAAAAAATCTGGCACTTGTTACCCACCTGTAAGACATTAATGTGCTGCAGTAAGTGAACAGTGCCATGAAACTGCTCAATGACTTCACAGATTGTCTGGTGACATATATGTAAGCATCTCTGTATTCAAACCAGTGTACCAACTGTTCAAACGTCTGATCTGAAGGCGTCTTCAGATCAGACGTGAAGCCTGATGAGGGTGACTTTGAGCTCACAAAGACTAAAAGGAACATACTCGAGTAGTTCAACTGCTTAAATCCCCAACTCCAGACAGCTTACATAGAACATGACAGAGTGGACAGGTGTAAGAACCTATAGTACTTCACTAGGCAGACACAATGGACATGAGGCTGTGTGTTATTATACTACTTTCTAGGCTACTTGGAAGTCTCCGTTTCATACATGCACAATAGGTCATATCTACATGTTCCTTGTATGCAGACTATTACCAATACAGATGTCAATGCTTCTGTTCCACCGTAGTTGCTGCACAGAAACTAATTTTGGGCTACACCTGCAGAGGACTCTGTGTGGACTCCCGCAGACTTGGTGCGGTAACGGACGACATTTACGTCACACGTGCCCTAGCAGACTCTTGTGCACCCTTGTGTGCACCTTCTGATGCAGAAACACTGGCCTATTACAGAGCTTCTGTTCCTGTTAGCTGTCAAGTGCCCCCCTGAGTCATGCACAGCTGTGAGTGTACATCAAGAGGATCCTGATGTTCAGTGCGAGTCTCTGGAAAAGATGTCTCAGACATGCTGAGCCAGTGACAAAGAGGAAGAAAACACGAGAGAGCTTCTTCAAGAAGTCTGTGGCAGCTGCCTTCCAGACTTCTGAGGAAGACAAAATCAGAGCTGAACTGTTAGCATACTTGTTGTCCCCTGACACAGACCCAGACACAGACACACTTCAATAGTGGAAACTGCATGACACCAACTTCCCAAGACTAAGTGATTTGGGATGAAATACCTATCAACCCCTGCAACAAGTGCCTTTTTAGAGAGGGTATTCAGTACAGATGGGAACATCATGACATGTAACAGAGCGTGCCTCAAGTCTGTAGGTAGACGTGTTTTTCTGGCAAGAAATTTGTAACACTTCAAACCAGAGACAAAAAATAAAAACTACACATCAGTGTGTGGCTTTCTCACGCAAGGTTTCTCAGTTTGCATTTTCTTCAAATCAGACAGCAACCATGTAGCCAATATATTCGTCCAATTACCCAACCCCACATTAACATTTGGCAACTACCAACAACCTGCCTAAAAATGCTCAGCTAAATTGTTTCTATAGAGAAAGAGACACTACACTGTGGATTTTTTTTTATCCTTCTCTCTTCTCACAAATCTAAATAATCCAGAGTTTTTTTTCCTCCTCAACCAAGTAGTGTTTATCTAATTATTTAATAGTGAGCTATGGCTAATGTGGCATTGCCAGTATTTGTAAAATTGCTCACCATGTACAGCTAAACAGATTGTTAAGTCTGAGTGTAAACTGGTGCTCTTGTAATTTAAGCAATAATCATGGATGTCCTGGGACTGAAGAAGGCTATTTTTAAATAATCAGTATAGGCATTAACCTGAGCTCAATCCTTTGTTTATGTCCGCTGTCACACAGATAGCAGAAATTTGAATATATTTCTTCATAAATGCAGCATTATCAATCTATAACTGAGTCATTTATAATACAGCCTGAACACACTGGACATCTGTTCTTTACTGATATTGTTATTTTCAACCACAGACACACAATATAAAAGGTGGCTATCACATATTCCACTGGGACACAAGAAAGCTCTCCCAGAGGTCATTAAGCGTCACAGAACACTTTATCACGGTGCCCAGTTACTAGCTAAATCCTCACAATGCTTTCTGTTTGCCAACACAGACCTTCCCACCTCCTCGGGTCACTGTAGTATGAATCAGTAAGAGGCTTCACCTGATGACACAACAGCTCATCTGTGTATAACTGATGAGAATGGTTATCAGCAGAAGTTTTCTCAGGTCGGGAGCAAAATAACTTGTTGGGACATCCCAAAGAATTACACTCTTACAAATTGTGATCTTGAATTTAAAATAGTTGAGCCTCGATGTAAAGCATCAAAGTTCTGCAAAGCACAACCACTGTCACACACTTACTGAAAAATAATAACACCATGGAAATTCTCATCCCTACAGCAACACACTTCAGTCAGGCTATCAAGGCTCCAAACTGATAGGAAGGCGCACACAAACTGAACAACAGAAAGTTGCAGG